TATATTACTTGGCATTTTTTTTAAATCCAAAATTTCGTAAAATTGCACTATCAAAAAAATTAACTTATGATGATATTGTAGTTTATGCATTGACTTTTGCACAAAAATAGAGCTTTACATGTGATCAAGCTACACAAATTTCACAAAATTTATTAAATTATTATAATAATGAACCATTTTTTAATTTAACAACTTTAGAACTACGAGCATATTGGAAGCATATTTCTTATCAGGCTGGTGCATTAAAAATATTGGCTCTAAAAATATTTGCAATTCGCCCTTATTCTGTTGGAGTAGAACAACTTTTTTCATGCATGGGCATGACAAAAACAAAAATTCGAAACCGATTAGCTACTTCAATCTTAAAAATGATTTCACAAATAAATCTTGCTTTATCTATAGAAGTTTCTAAAAAAAATTCAACTAAAAAATTAGTTGAAAAAGATAAAGATATTGATAATTTAGATAATTATTATAAAGAATTATTTTTTTCAGATTTTACTAAAGAAGAAGATAATAAATTAGAATTTAGTCACATTCAAGAAATTTCTTTAGAATCAATTCAAAATAATTCAGAGTCATTTATAGAGGAGTTTATTAATTTTGATATTATTGAAGAATTAATTACAATATCAGATAAAGTAAAACAAAATATTGATAAAAATAAAAATACATCTAATTGAACTTTAGATGATATTTTAAATACAGGTAATAAATAGATCTATTCTCTTTTTAACTGCTCTCTTACATAAAAGGTAATTGATTTATTATAGTTTATTTTTTATTAAAATTAAAAGTTAACTTTATAAAAATATTAGAAGATACAGTATTCTTATTCATTAAATAAATTTTATATTTTTAACTACTTTTTATTATTGATTTTCATTACTAATATGCAAAATTTTTGATAAACTATTTATAATTCTCTTAAGTAGTAATTGAAATTTTTACTTTGATCTATTATTGCAATTAAACATTAATACAATTATTAGAAAATCACAGTAATAGTAATGCTTAAGTATTTCAATAATCTTGCCAACCATTATAGTGCATTAGCAAAATACCCAATATTTAAAAAATTTGATTACTAATATGTTATTGCTTAATTTTGCAAATGCACTGTAATAGCTAATCATATTATTGACTTTTATTCAAAATGCTACAAAAATAGCTAAAATTAATACTTATACATTATTTCGACCACTATTAAATTGCATCTTGATTGATGTTTGAGAACACCCTATAATGAAAATTATGAAGTATTTTAAATGAATAAATATAAAATACTATATATTTAAGTAACCAGTATTTTCTGATTATCTATAAGTTCAAGAGTTAAAAAAAATAAAGCAGATAACGATCTTTGAAATTCATTAAACAATAAAATATTGTATATTACCTGTTTTAAGAATCTTGAATTCTTTTTAGAGTTTCATCCTATACACATAATTTTTAAATACATTACAGTTGTCCTTTATTCATATCAACCTATTTAGATTGCTCTTACATTCATGTTGATAGTGATATTAATGAATAAGCATATTAAAGTTGATATATATGAGGGAATACAATATAATTTTAATATATAAAAGTTTATTGTATAGCCTAGGTTGATATTAACAAGGGACGACTGTACTAATAACAACAGTATTTCTGTTTGAACTAATTTTTAGAACTTATTGTTACTTGAACTCTTTATATAATGCTAATACATTATTGAAAGCTTTGTAGATAGTAATATTGTTAATAATTGTAATAAACTAACATTATTATTAAATAAACCAGTTCAAAGTTCTAAAAGTTTCTGATATATAGTATATAATAGGTGTTCTCAAGTATTACAATTTTGTATTGGTCGAAATAGTGTACAAGTATTAATTTTAGCTATTGTTATAGCATTTTGGATAAACGTTAATAATATGAATGATATGTAATATTATTAAGATATGCTCAAGCATTACTATTACTGTGATTTGCTAATAATTGTATTGATGATTAATTGCAATGATAGACCAAAATAGAGCTCTTAAGAGGAGTTAAAATAGGCAAAATTTTCCAAAAAATATGTATTGATAATAAAATCTATAATAAAAATATGAAAATGTTTGGAAAATATAAAGTTTTAATTAGTACATATGTACAAAAGCTTTGACCAAAATAGTAAATTCATTGTTCATTTTTTGGTATGTATTTAAAATTTTTTTTTCTTGTAATAAACTACTTTATTTATCTTAATAATAAATACAAATATGGATTGTTTAAAAGTAAAAAATAT